AGTGGCAGTGGCAGTGGCAGTGGCAGTGGCAGTGGCAGTGGCAGTGGCAGTAGCAGCAGCAGCAGCAGCAGCAGCAGCAGCAGCAGCGGCAGCAGCAGCAGCAGCGACGAAGAAAGCAGCAACGACGAAGACAGCAGCAACAGGGGGAGTGGCAGTGACAGTAAGTCGGAAGCGGATAAGCCATCGGCACCCAAGAAAGAGGGGAAGGCCAGTGGTGATGGCGCAGCTGAAGATACCGTCTGGGACCTGCAAGCAAGCCCTGTACTGAATACTCTCGATCGAAAGATTGACGCCTTGGTGGAGGACTTGGAAAAGTTTTGTAGGGAAACATTCCATAGGAGGCTGCGCTCCGAGTTCAAGGCTGTGATGCCCCCAGTCAATAAGAAGCATTTGGATGGGCTTGATAGAGTCTTCTGCTTGCCGAAATTTATGCCTGTTGAGCCGGAAGCATTCAAGGCGGATAAGTTTCAAAACGCTCTACTTCCTGGTGACCTTAAGGACAGGCAGTCCCGGGATGACTTCATCTCGAGACTAAAGACAACTATACGCTGGCGCGAGTGTGAGGATAAGGAGACCGGCGCAATGTACAAAGAGTCCAATACACGCATCGTGCTCTGGTCCGATGGCTCGCAGACTCTTCACATTGGCGCACAGGTCTTTGAATTGATCAGTCACCCCATGCCCATCGGGAAGGATCAACTGTATGTGCGCCAGAACAGCCACCTTTACATGGTAGGTCCGCTCAGGGAGAAGATAACCGTGCATTCCCAGCACGAGCCGGAGTTTGGCCAGACTCAGGAGCAGAGTCTGCGTAATCGCTCCGCATTTCAGCCGGTCAAAAGCTGTGTGAAGGGACTAATGGATCTGAGCATTAATCCGGTGCTTGATCGCGAGCGCAAGACTAAAGAGGAGCAGGCCCAGCAGCGCCGAGGAAAGTCCGATAATAAGAATCAACGCATTCCCAATGTGAAGCCAACGGCTGCACCGGCCTCCAAAGAGGTTTTGCAGCCGGATGATCAGGCGTCTCTTAAGCCTTTGCGTCCTCCGATCGAGCAACCGGCAGGCCTTCGCACCAAGGAGGATGAAGAGGACAGTGACAGCGATGTACAGGAGAAGGAAAAAGTCGGCACAGGTTTCAATAAAAAATCGAATGTGAATCAAGTGAAGACCAATCCCAAGCGCAAAAGAGACATGCTTAGTGACTCTGAATAAACTTGACAAAGGTCTGCAACGCACAATACTCAAATGCGGTTTCTATAATTGCAATTAGGTTTGAGGTCCAGCTTTCGAATAGTCGAGTAGTTGAGCTGTTAAGTAGTTGAGCAGTTGAGCTGTTGAGCTGTTGAGCTGGTACTTTGCATCCTCTCGAGTTTGCTTCCCATTTGCAGTTAATTAACTAACCCCAACTGCATTTGATTCAAACGTGCTTTACATTTTGTCACCTTTGCCCTAATTAGTGGCCTGCCTCTGCGCCTGCATTCGCTCACAATATTGAGCATCGGCTGAATTCCAGTGTCCAGTTGCGTTATCCAGATATCTCAGAATGCCTTTGTCGAGAGCCGGATGTTAGGCGTGTAATATTGTTGCGGCCCAAGACCTATTCAATGCTTGGGGGCAGCAAAGGTGAATTTGGCGATGGCTAACGACGCTCGAATTTCAATTGTCTATCCTTGTAGGAATTGAGGTAAACAATTATGTATCTGGGGTACAAATTTATTCAATTTCTTAGTCATGTAAACTTTTTAGCTTCTAGTCATACAAGATTAAAATCTTCCTCAATTGGAAAGAAATATAAGTAAGTATTTTTATAAATATCTGTGATTTAAGTTGCCTAAAAGAAATAGATTATTGTAGTAGAACATAAATAACAAAATATATACAAAAATTCTTGGTTTTTGTATTGCAAAAATCAAACTAAATATTATTCAAGCTAAAAATTCGCTATAAGAGTCATAAAAGAGTTTGTGATTGAGTTTCAACAAATGAAGCATTAAACTGTATACAAATAATCCGCTTACTGAATTACTTCCATTTGAGTTGCTCCCTTTAGGTAAATTTGCCTTACAAACAAATTGCTGTTGTTGCTGTTGCAGTGGGTGCAGTTGTTGCGGTTATGCATCCCATTGTACTGCAGGTGGGCCTTAACTTGTAACAGACCATAAACTAAACTGTCACCGATTTACGTTGCTTTTCAATTGTGTCCCGAGGATGGGCCAGCTGCAGAGCTCAACTGCAATGATTTGTATTTGTGCTTGTCGACAAGCTTGTACAGCATTATGCTTATCTGCTGGTGGATCCCTCAGCCTAGTGG